GACATTTATGTTTATTGTACTTATGATTTGCCACGCTAGACTTCCGCTAAAACTTTTGAGTACTTTTATCAGACTTTGTTCCGATGTTTGTCGGATAAGACATTATGACCGTTTTTATTTATCAGTTTAAATTTTTAAACGGTTCTCAGAAAACTCAAGTTTTCACGGTAGCATCCCGATCAGTTTTCGCAAAAATAAGTATTTTGTTTAATTATTCAGAAAATTTGCGAAAAATCGCGCACTCTGATGTATTTAAAATAGCGGGGTGTTACAACTTGGTATCAGAGCGACGTTTCTGCGTCTCTGAAAAGTTTTTCAGTAAAAAATTTTCAGAAAAACCTGAACCGTCACGCTCACGCCTCGCCGACTCCAGGTAAGTGTTGATTCAGTTATAAACATATTACTTTGTCTATTCTCAGAAATCAGTAATCAAACTTAGTTAAGATGCTCAATTCAGATTCAGACCTTAGAGTTCAAATATAACTTTAGAGATCAGTATATTCAGGCATGACTCTAGACTTTAGAATCTTCAGTATAACTCTAGAGTTCGTCAGGATTCATGTCAGTATTTATCGGCCATTTTTGGCAACTCGTCAAGAGATCTGTGTGCCTTAGTAATCAGTCAGAAAATCATCATGTATTCAATAATCTTGAACTTTTTCAATGTTCAGATGCCGCCACGTAGGGAACCCGATCATCCGGCTCCTACTCAGGCTACAGTGGTCGCCCAGTTCCGCGACTACCATGCCGAAAAGTTCTCAGGGCAGGGAGATCCTCGCGTAGTTGACGAGTGGATTCAGGGCCTGGAGTTTATCTTCGAGGTCATGGAGTGCCCTGAGAGATATCGCGTCATTTGCGCTCAGCTTCAGCTCACCGGGGATGCCAGGCTCTGGTGGAACGCTTACTGGGGCATGCGTCCCGGTGAGAAGGCGGGATGTACGTGGGAGATGTTCAAGGATTTAATCCGCGAGAAGTACTACCCCACATACTACCGAGCAGAGATGGAGCGTCAGTTTCTATCACTCCAGCAGGTTACTCGCACTGTCGACGAGTACGAGAGGGAGTTCACGAGACTTGCAGCGTTTGTTCCTGATTTGGTCCGCACGGAGGCCCAGCGAGCGCAGCGTTTCATTGACGGACTTTGCCCAGCAGTCCGTCATAACATCGTAGGCCACGGGACGCAGACATATGCGCGTGCAGTCTCCATTGCTCAGGAGGTGGATGCTAGTATCAGGAGGGAGACCGTTCGTGCCCAGTCGTCTTCAGTTCCACCGGTGCCAGCTTTACCATCTACCCAGCCGCCCAAGAACAACAAGAGGAAGGATAAGGGTGCCCATACATATAAGAGGGCTCGACGGAGGCTACAGCAGGTTCCACAGTGCCCGACATGTGGACGACATCACCGAGGCGAGTGTCGTTTTGGTCAGGACGTGTGCTATTATTGTCACGAGGCCGGACACTTTGCGAACCGTTGTCTGAAGAAGGCGCAGCAGCCTCAGCAGCCTCA